CCACATACACACAACCACAGCCGACCTCCCGCCAGAACCCGGCAGCCACCCCAGCCAAAGGGCTGACCATCGGAACCATGAACCCCAATCAAAGGATCCAAACAATTCAGGGAGAACTGGAGCACCAGCCCCACCCCCAATCGCCACCAAAGCCCCAATACCCACCCACAGCCCAGACCCCAACCAGGCAACCTACCCCCCCCCCCCGCCCCCGACCCCAAATGTCAGACGGAGAATGAGGGTTTAAGGAAAACTGGAAGACCCAACTCCTCCCTCCTCGCACTCAAATAAGATGTTGATGCATGTTGTTATATAGTGCGTTTAAAATGGGGGGATGAGGCGGCGACTGGCACAGACCCACCCCCTTCCCAGAGAGCAGGCAGTGCCCGTTCGCCCCCCCAACCCTTGCCCAGAACCCTAAATGTCTACATGCTACATATGAGAGTAGGCACAGGTCACGGAGGTGAGAATGATTACACATTCCACCCCCTATATGCCACCATGTGCCCACTCCAGACCCTATATATGCATGTGTTGTGAGAATGTTATATGCGAGTGTCTAGGTTGTTTGATAAAATTGGGGCCCAGGTCTCCACGAACCACGGAGATGGAGGATCATCCCCGTAGCTCAGTAGTGCACCTGAACCCCAAGGCCCTGCTAGAGTGGTGGTGTGATAGAGTGGGTGGAGGAAGACGTCGGGATGGGGAGGAACAACTGAGGTGGCAATGTCCTCCCAGGGGGCCAGCTCCCCCACTGACCCCAATAGGCACCCCCATTCTCTGAGATCCACCAGGGGAGGGAGACTCCAGTGCATCCATCTAGGAGCAGGAGGCAGCCGCACCACCAGGGACCCAGGCCACGGACCGGCAAATAGCCCCGAGGACCGACCAGAACACAGGGCCAGCGACCCAAGCCCCCCCGAGACCGTCCAGACCCCCAACCTGATCCCCAGCTCAACACCCAGCCCCCCAACCAAAGAAGCCACCAAACTCCAGCAGCGACAATTAGCCAGGAGTGCCTGAACAGCCGCAGACAGCGCACCACGATGACCGAGAGCGCACCCCCACCCCCACAAAAGGACCGACCAGTCCACCACAGCAACACCCACAATGAGAGCACCCCATGCAAGGGAGGGCACACGCCCAGACACCCCCGGGCCAGCAGTGCAGAGCCACCTGAGCAAAAGTCCCACAGCCCCCACAGCCCAGAATCCCAGCCAAGCACCAGACTGCAGCCACAGCCAGGCAGGAAGACACCCAGGCTGAGTCCACCCGTCCCCCCCTCCCCCATGGCAGAGGCCCCAAAGCCCACCAGCGCACCAAGGGCCCCCAGGCCAGGGCCGGGCACTGGCACATGCAGCGGCCCAAGACCCCGACAACATACCCGCCAAGACCCGAGACCCCCGGATCAAGCTGGTACCCCAGGACGGGAGTGACACTCCCCCAGAACCCCGAACCCGCGCCCACCCCAAACCCACCCAGGAGCAGCCAGGCCACCAGGCCAGCAACCTGCGCCCGCCGGCACAGACCGCCCAGAGGCCTGCATGCAGCCAGCAGAGGTCAACGCCCAGAACCACCAAAGCCATCTCCCCAGTTGAGCGCCATTGCCCCGGGCCCACGACCCCCCCATGCCCCCAGCCCCGATACCCCCCACATCAACCATGATGCCCCACGGGACGAAATCAAAGGGGTTTACCCACCTCCACTACGGGTTGAAGTCAATCAAAGAAGCCCAGAGAGATTGTTCTGATGTGGAGGTACAGGCTATCTCAAGACTGATGTAATCTAACAAAAGGTCTTTATACTGTTTAATACTAAGAGTATTTTTATTTTTCCAATTTATGTGTATAGTTTTTTTTTTTTGCTATACATAAGGCAGTAAAAATCATGTGAATTGACTTTGTCTCCAAGGTGACATCATCTAAGTGACCCAATAAGCAAACTGACGGAGAGAGTGGAATATTACATCTCAGACACTTTGATAAGTCTTCACATATCCGGCACCAAAACCTCTGAACAGGTGGACAGAACCAAAATGAGTGGATGTAATTGTCAGGAATATTGTCTGTACACTGTGAGCAAACATTAGATGATGCAAAACCCATCCTGAACATCCGATGACCTGTGTAGTGTACTCTATGAAGGATTTTGTATTGTATTAATTGTAAATTGGGGTTTTTAATCATCTTAAAAGTTCTTAGACATAGCTGAGACCAGAAGTTTTGGTTAAAGTTGACTGACAAGTCTGTCTCCAATTTTACAATGGGAAGGGATATTGATTCATCTATTTTAATGAGTGTCCGGTAAACCTTAGATAGTAATTTGGGAGGGTTAAGATTTAGGAATTCTAATACACTTGTTGGTATTTCAATTCTAGTGTTATTAAGGTTAAATTTATTTTTTGTTATAGATTTAATTTGTTGATATTCTAAAAATTTATTCTTATCAATCCCATATTGTGTTCTTAATCTGTTAAATGGGATATAGTTTACGTCCTCATATATATGTTCCAAATATTCTATTCCTTTACACCTCCAACCTGGGAAGTTGATCATATTATTATGTTGTAGGATGTCAGAGTTGTTCCAGATGGGTTTACGTCTGCATGGAATTAGTGAAGACTTTGTCATTTTAAGAAACTCCCACCAAGCTGTCAGAGAGGAGCTGATATTGATGCTTTTAAAGCATTCCTGTCGTTTTATGTTTGAGCTAATGAATGGAAGGTCCGAGATCATTATATTATTGCAAAGTGTCTGTTCTACATCTAGCCAGGGTTCATCAAGGGGTGTGTGATTTATCCATCTTGAGATGTATTCTAGCCTGTTGGCTAGAAAGTAATAATAGAAATTGGGTAGCTCTAGTCCTCCTTTATCTTTGGTCTTCTGTAGTGTTTTTAGTTTAATACGTGGGGGTTTATCTTTCCAGAGAAATTTAGAGATGGAGGAGTCCAGGGATCTAAACCAGTCAGATGATGGTTTATTTAGGATCATTGAGAATAGATAGTTTATTTTAGGCAAAACCATCATTTTTATTGAAGCAATTCTTCCCATGAGAGACAAGGGTAGAGATTTCCATCTAGCAAGATCATCCTCAATTTTCTTTAAAAGTGGAATGTGGTTTAGTTTTGTTAAATCTGCCAATCTAGGAGAGACTTTGATACCCAAGTATGTAATATTCCCTGACTGCAGTTGTGTAGTAAGTGAAATGTTGAAATAGCAATTAATTGGTAGAACTGTAGATTTTATCCAGTTTATAGAGTAATTTGAAACGCTTGAAAAAGAGTTTATCAACCCAATAACCTGAGAGAGGGAGGTTTGTGAATGCTGGAGGAAGAGCAACACATCATCAGCATATAGACTGATTTTGTGCTCTATGTTCATGCATTTTATGCCTTTAATATCTGTAGTTTGCCTGATTGCTGCGGCTATCGGTTCGATGAAAATAGCAAACAGTGAGGGGGAGAGTGGACATCCCTGCCTGGTGCCCCTTTGCAGAAGAAAGCTAGAAGATATTTGATTATTTGTCCTAATGCATGCTGATGGGGAAGTATGCTCTTCTTTAAACATATTTGAAGGAAATATTCCTGAGAGATCCAATAGTTTTGTGTCTTTTGTGATTTTTCAGCTGAGTTAACTTTAATTAACAGATTATTTAATAAAGTCATTAAAGTGAAAACAAGATTTAATGATAAAGCCGGCACAGTTTTTTTTTTTATCTTCACTGATCCAACATAATTTTTTTTATACAAAAAAGGTTTTCAAAAATCATTTTCACCCACCATCCCAGACCCGTCCAAGTCCGCCCCTGCCTGCCGGGGCTTGGAGTCCATCCTTGCGCGCTTCTACAGGTCGGCAGTTTGTATGATCCTTCGCAGTGACCAGTGGAGCTCAGAGCCCAGTGGAGCTCAGAGCCCGGTGGAGCACATGAGGCTAGGGCCCTGAACCCGGCCTTGTGTGCTCCTGCGAGTCTGCAACATGGAGGATCCTCTGCGGTGATCAGCGGAGCTTGGAGTGCATGAGGCCGGGCCCCAGAGCCCGACTCACATGCTCTTGCGGGTCGGCAGCTCGGAGGATCCTCCGTGTTGACTGGCAGAGCTCGAAGCCAGGGAGGTGACCCCCTGCCCATCCTGAGGGGGCCCCGAGGCTCCAATAGAGAGGACCGGGGGACCGGCGGAGCTCCATCTAGCTCGCTCTGAATTTTGTCATCGGCCACCAAGCACAAAAAAACTCCTGTACTTCAGCATTAGACCACTGTATTGTCATTTTTGTTTTTTAAAATCTTAAAAATATGTCCAGTCGCTCCTCCGAGTTTGAGTTATTGCAAATGGCAGATCGGGTTGTTGTGAAAGTTTCTCAAACAACCAGTGACTCCACCCCCTGACCAACAGTGACTGATAGTGTTTTGATGTCACATTTTATGGTCAGCACGGTACGTTTGGAACCCCAGAAAAATGGGTCCTGAAAAAGGGGCCGGTTCCACGAATAATTCCTAGTGGAAAAGCCTTGGAACTGTGCCGAGTCGAGTCAAACCGTGCTGTACTTTTACTAATGGAAAAGGGCCATTAGTCTTTGCTAAACTCTAGGAACATAAGTGTGGCCAGGAACACAACTACCCATAGGCAGATAATGCACCAGCGTTGAAGTCATCAGCTGCCATTTATGCCCACTGCTCCACCTGGGTGTATCCCAGGTGTGATGGGTTAAATGCAGAGAGCCAACTTCATCTTTGTATGGGAACATACAATGATGACAGCACATAGCAATTTATTATTGTTATACTCCTACAGCTCATTAGGAGAATGATCCACAGGTGTGAGCTTGTTGGTGCCATCTGGAGTTGAAAAGTTGTAGAGATAAAACTGGAACTCCTACAGGATGAGAATGCTCTGAAAATGTCATTAGACAGCAGTATTTTTTTCTCCTATATAACCTTTTTATTTTTTATGTTGTCTAAGCTGTCCAATTCTTCTGACTTGTTCTTTTTTTGTGTGCGCATCTTAGATGACCATCTGAATGGCAGAAATGGTTCCAGCTTCAGTGACAGACGAGCAGAGAAGAACCAGAGAGCAATGAGTCCTTCACCCTCAACTGTCATAACTCAGTGAGTTAAATGGATTTTGTGATCACATGTAGGCGAGGTGACCTTATGTCCCTTTTTGTTTGGTACTGCACTACATCTTTATTGCTCATTCCACAAATTAGGAGCGGAATCTTTTTCAAAGGTCAATACTACCAAGCAAATCATTTACATAACCATTATTTGATACAGGTAGGTAATAAAGAATATAAAGTGTGCTTAAATGAATTAATGATTTGATGTGTGACACAGTTTGGTACGTTGGTATTTTTGTCCGTATGACAAAACTCTTGAGGGGACTGTGTGGACCAGTTGTGTTTTTACTGTATGACAGCAGTAAAAACACAACAAAACAAAACATTTGTAGTAGAAACTTACTTGGAATCTGTCAAAATAAACAGAACTGCAAATTTAGGAGCTCTTTGTCAGCTTTTTCAGTTCATACATCATTATTATGTAACTACTGATTTTAGCCAAAGTATTTAGTTCCACTCGCTACAAATAAAGCCTTCAGACACATTTCCTTGTCAGTTTTAGTCATACATGTCAGCCCTCAAAGTGATTTAACATTGTCTGTTTATGGGTTGTACATTGGTGTTTGTGGCTAAATGACCGAGCTGAAGCCTAAAAGCCTGAAACTCCCTGTGTAGTATGAACAGATGCTGAGATATATTCATACATTAAACGGGTTCTTCATTTTTCTGGACTGTGTAACATGCGTGCATTGAATTTAACAAAAATGTAACGAGAGACGTTATTTATCTTTGACCCATCAAAATGAATGCGGTCATTTATTTACAGAATCAAAGATTAACATCAAACATTTACATTAATTTGGCAAAATATGAAAATAACAACAGCATAATTAATCAATCAGGAAAACCATACGGCCATGGTTTTCCGTTGCTTCACCACAGACATTAATGAAAACATCTGGATTAATTTTCTAGCAGAAAGGAGAGTTTGAAGATGGAAAATTGAGATTTATCTTACAGAGAGATGTGTGAGGGAATTTATCTGTTTTAACCAGAACAGCACGCTCTTTGGAAATCAGCTTGTCCCAAACAGTACACTTTTGGGTGAAGGTCGACTTTTACCTTTCTGAAGATAGATCAGGTCGGCGTGAAGTCCTACTTCCAGCCACTTTCAGCGTCTCCGTTGAGAACAGCTAAAATACCTCGAGAGTCGTGCGAGGTTATCCAAACAGAAGTTATAATTCCCAAAATCGTCTCTGGCCCAGCTGCAACCATGAATGCCTGCGTTTTGCATCCAGGTTGTCCCAAAATCTCTGCATTCTGGATTCCAAGAACTCTGAACTCTGGAACTCTTCAAAACTCTACGTTGAACTGGGAAGTTGCCACATTTAAACGGCTATACTTCCGGTTCATTTGAGAGCTTTCTGATTCGTGGATGGACCAGAACAGAGGTGTGGTTTGTGATGTAAGGTGTTATGGAAAGTCAAGGATTGTTTAAGAACAGACAGAAAGATATCATGGAAAAACCAGACTTCGTGGTGCCACCTCTCCTGTATCTTGCTGTAAAAGTTAAACATGACATTTCTTTTCAGTAAACTTTTTAGTTGACCGAAGCTCGAACTTTAACACACTTACAAATTTGCTCATTGCAGACAGAAAAATCAAGAAATGCATATTACCCTGATTTCTTCTTTGAATGAGGAATAAAAATCATTACTACTGTTTAAGTAAATAAAAATGAGTAGTTCACTTCAACCTGTAAACATTGTTTGAACTAACACAATTTGATTATCAAAACATTTGTAAAATAGTAATGATCATAGAGAATTGTCTTTTCTACTTGATTAATTCAAGAAAGAAAGTCTCAGGATGGGTCAAACTGTATTTCTGGATGCAGATCAATGAAATGACAGTTTCTGACCATATGATCCTAAGGTCATTGATTTGACATCCGGTCAAGTTCACTACACCTGCATGACTTCAAATGTCAAAGCCACATTGGTTCTGGGTCTTTTGCTTCCAGTGATCCCAGAGGCAGATTTAAAACATAAACCAGTCTGTTTTGACCACTATTCAAACTCCAAAGTGCAGGCCAAACTCTTTGTCTCAAAATTGAACACTAACAGTCACATGAGCGAGATGTTTAAAGAGAGTCACTGAAGAAACACGCAGACAGAAACATATTTAACAATCAATGTCTCTATTGTTGCATGGTGGAGGGATGTGAAGGAAGGGTGAAGCCAGCTAAGACATTGAAGTACCGTAATTCTCGGACTATAGAACGCGCCTTTCTAAGCCGCACATACTAATTATAAGATAAATCATAACTTTGTACATAAATAAGACACTCTGGTTATTAAGCCGCAGGCATCCACGTTTATTATCAGAATGTGTGCCCAGCTCCGGTATAAGTTGCAGTTTTCTTGTTATAGTACAAGAATCAGCCACCGGATGGCATTTCACAGAATATTGCTTGCTTTCACCACACGTTCAGACTGCATGATAGTCAGAAGTCTTCATGAAGCTTCGCTGTCTGAAACATGGTTAAAACCATTCAGCCTACAAAATGAACACAAGAACTATCCAAGCATAATCACTGGACAGAACAGTGTCGAGTACCTACGTAATCGAAATTATTTAAAAAATTATATACCGGTAAATATTACCCAGAAGTCTTAACATACTCATGTGACTGGAAGTCAAATAGTACCAGTAAAATACGGTAAATGTTCATTAAATTAGTACCATTGATTTTTATTGATAAACACTTTTGGTAACTGGTAAATGAACTGTACTTATATAGCGCCTTTCTATCTGATCAAGATACTCAAAGCACTTTACACTACAATCTGTGTCCTCATTTACCCATTCATACAACACTCTACTAGATCTCTACAAAGCTAATTGAACAAATAATTCTAAAGCGACTAATCAGAGAACAAAGTCCATGCTCAATAATCCAGGTATAAAATCCAACATTTTTCAGTCAGGTCATCTGGACAGTTTATTTTTTTGTTCTGAAGCGTTTTGCCTTCAATCCGGAAGGCTTCATCGGTCAAAGAAACCCACAACAAAAATGATTCTTCTCCCAACAGCTTACTCCAAAGTGGAATAAACCAGTTCTGCTTGTGATTAGATGGTCTCTTTGGTACGCCCCTCCTCCATTGCCGGCCCTCTTCCTTGTTGACAGTCTTGTCAAACTGGTTGAAAACAAAAAAGTCCATGCTCAATAATCCAGGTATAAAATCCAACATTTTTCAGTCAGGTCATCTGGACAGTTTCTTTTTTTTTGTGCTGAAACGTTTTGCCTTCGATCCAGAAGGTTTCATCAGTCATAACTTGTGAAAATTATGAAAAAAATAAAAAACACAAATTAGACGCTCCTGCATATAAACTGCAAGGTACAAAGTGTGAGATAAAATAGCGGTTTGTACTCTGGCAATTATGGTATTTATGAGATTTGTGTGAATTAAATGAAAAAGCTGAAAAAGATGTTCTTTTCATCATCGTAGGTTTTTGTGGTTGTTTGTAACACTGATGAACCCCTCCACTCTAAGCCTCTTCCATCCACTCAAAATCTCCTCCTATCAGCCAATTTAAACAAGCTGAGTCCAGAGAGAAATTCTGTCCTGAGCCTTTCTTTTTAAAACAGTTAAAGGAACGAGTGAAGGAAATAGTGGTAAAGAGGTCGATTTGGCAGCTAAAAGCTTGATACCCAAGGTCTTCCCCAGAATCTTTCACATAAGTGATGAAAACAGATTCCCAAACCTCCCAAAAGACAATGGCCACAGAGAGGAAAAGACAAAAACTATGTCTTGATGCATGCTCAATAATCCAGGTAGAAAAATCTAAAAAAGTTAAATCTGGTCCTCTGGACATTCAAAAAAAACCAAAACAAAGCAAAACAACAAAAAATGTAGAAACGTTTCGTCTCTCATCCGAGAGACTTTCTCAGTCTGAGGAGCTGTATTCAGCTCAGTCTCTTAAATAGCACCGTCTCAGAGTGGATCAACCAGTTTTGCTGCTGACAACCAAAACCAGCTGATCACATGCTCAAGAAGGACCATCAGC